TTTTACAAGAAAATACTATTTTAGTCTTTCCACTTCCATATTTTACATTTTAATTCAACGAGTTAATTGCTATTTTTGTAATTAACTGTGAAATTTACTTTTCAGTGAAAACTGTTTCTACACCAACTTTTTTTTTAGTCTGTAATGAACACACCAAAATTTAAGCTGTTATATTTCTTACATTTCATACTTGTTAAGCTTCGATGGTAATTCAAATCTGCTATGTTAAAAATATAAATGACTTTTTTAAACATCAAAATGACAGAATGAAACTGTCAAATTTCAGTAAATGTTTTAAAAACAATGAATCTCATGCATCAATGCATTGCTTTTACGCTTGACGTCACACCGCCTAAACTGTGCTGAACAGCAGCACACTGTCATCCGGGTCAGGTGCTAAAATATGTAAAAACACAATATCATACCATGGTACATTTTTGGATCCACTGTGCTTTATCAGCCTTAGTGTGTAGAGTCAGTAGTGCATGACCTGTCAACCGAGCTGAGACCAGTTGCCGGAGGAGTTTCTGACATGACGTTGGATCAAATGAACTTGCTGTATTCAATGCCTGCTTTTGGACATTGTACTTGCACTCAGCTTTATCTGATGTTGGGTAACTGAGACACTCTAGCACTCTTCTTGACTGCTAAATTAATTGTTTTTTAAAAACAAAAAGCAACAAGGCTGAATGCATTTGTTACACAGGAGGTATAAGATTTTTTTAAGATTCAGATTCCACCGAAACTCTACATTTAAAGGGGTCATATGATGTTGCTAAAAAGAACATTATTTTGTGTATTTGGTGTAATGAAATGTGTTTATGCGGTTTAAGGTTCAAAAAAACACATTATTTTGCACATACTGTACATTATTGTTTCTCCTCTATGCCCCACCTTTCTGAAACACGTCGATTTTTATATTTTGAACATTATTTTGTGTATTTGGTGTAATGAAATGTGTTTATGCGGTTTAAGGTTCAAAAAAACACATTATTTTGCACATACTGTACATTATTGTTTCTCCTCTATGCCCCACCTTTCTGAAACACGTCGATTTTTATATTTTTACTCATCGGTCTGAAAAGCGAGGTGTGCTCTGATTGGCCAGCTATCCAGTGCATTGTGATTGGCTGAATACTTCAAGCGTGTGACGGAAATGTTACGCCCCTTGCCATATTGTGATGCCTTGTCCCGGCCGGAGCGACAAGACAAAAACATTAAAACCCATTATAAACGAGGCATTTGTTGCATCCAGTGGGGACATAATTAC